ATATAATAGTTGGTTTTGGTTTCTAATAAAAAAAGTGACATTAATTTCTTGATGACCTAATACAATTTCAGATACCACCAGGTGTTGGTTATGTGTCTCTGTTCAATTGTCATCTATGCCAAAACAATTACATCATAGGATTAAGTTACACACACTGCAGAGATAGGGTGTTCCATAGGGCCTTTAGTTGTTCTGTCTAGTTGTCTTTTGCTTCATAACTATGTTCCTCCCAGACTGTACACTCTTGGACACACATGAGTAATATAGACAGGGATTGCTGCCCATATCTGATGCTCTGTGGCATTGAGACTCTTCCTATCACAAACCTGATGTACAATTACAGATGCTCTCAGGTGTTGGTTGATTGACTCCATAGACACGGTAGCTCTGCTTTTTAAAATAGGATATTGTGGCCACCCATTGCACTGAGGTTCTCTGGACTCTCCAATGCATTTTCCCCTCCTTTCTGCTAGTGGAGTATGGGAGTCCTTACCACTTACCAGTTCCTAGCCACTGGAGTAGTCAACCATGGAGATCTGTCCTTCTGAGTGATGCATAATACCTCTCACTATGGTGGTGGTATTCTGTGGGTGTTGATGACATCTATCACTTCCTACCATGGACCTGATGTATAATTCCAGATGCCACCAGGTTTCTGTTGTAGCACTATGGCATATTAATATGTATATACGTATATCTGGCAGATTGCTTTTTCACACCATGGCATTCCTCCTTCCTACAATCTTCCAGATGTACATTCCTGGTGGGTTTGGTGTTGGTTGGAGATGGCTTAGTTATGATTATAATCACGTGTCAATAGCGTGACAACCTGATGTACAATTCCAGATACCACCAGGTTTTGGTTCAAGCACTCTGCCATAAAGTGCAGTTTGACCCTCAAGCTGAGATGTTCCTCCTACCTACCATCCTCCAAATGCAGTTCCCAGGGTTTCAGGTGTTTGTTTGGAAATGGTCCAATTAAGTAAGTCCTCACATGTGGTCTGGCCGGTATCCCTCCTCTTACCACGAACTGGATGATAAATGCCCAATGCTGCCAGGTTTTGTGCTGGAAATGCACCCCAGGTTTGTGGTCCCTCTTCCTACTGTCTGCTGGGTGTTGGTTCCTGGCAGATCTGGTATTGTTTGGAGCTGGATGGAGCACATATATTTCCACTTGTGTGTGGTTGGGTATCCTCCTCCTACCATGGACTGGAAGAAACATACCCAATGCTGCCAGGTTTTGGACCAAGGATGTTATCCCATCTGGGTTTTCCACTTTCCTACCATCTGCTGGATGTCGGTTCAATGTGGATCAGTGTTGGTTGGGTTGGAAATGCGGGCAAGTGGAGATACATTTTGGTACAGAAGTTTGTCTTCCCTACTAATTCCTGTTTCTTGGTGAAGGGGTAGGCGATTCTCTGCCTACCACAGTACTGATGTACAGTACCAGATGCCACCAGATGTTGAATGAGGTTTAACTACCACTACGGTGTGTTGTACCTTAGCCACTCGACATCCAGGGGTCCTACTAATAAGTAATATGTATTAAGAGGTTCCTTCTTATTTTTCCACCTTTTATGTTTGCAACACAGTCATAAAAGTGTGATGAGTATACCTGGATCTGATGTGGTATGGTCTCATGCTGTTTTGGGATATTTTCTTTTTTTGGTTTCACACCTCATGGTCTCTCTTTGTTTGTTTCCTAAAGGGGGTCATCTTTTCACCAGCCTTCCACCAGTTCAGTGTGGGGTTCTAGCTATTTTGTGAGAGGAGGTAAGATATCGTATTGGAAGTTAACATTTTCTTAACCTGAAAATGTATTTCTGATAGATATTTACCTCCTCTCACATTTCTCACTATAACCAATCTCAAAGCAAGTGCAAATGTGGAGAGGATGCTTGTTACAGTAAGGGTTGTGTTGCACTTCTATTGGTGGAGAGCTACTGCATAATCATTTACATGAGGATATGCAGAAACAAAAGGTGGAAAGCCAGCATGAAGCGTTGAAAATTTGTGCCAATAGAGAGCAGTACTAATCAAGAAAATCCATTTTGCAAGAAGAGGTAAGTATTTATTGGAAAAATATTTTCAGTTTAGGAATATTATAACTTCTGAGAAATTCTCCTCAGTGCATAATGAATCTAAAGAAAGGAGAAAAAATTATTTTGTTGCAGATTTGTATGAAATATTTTTTTTCATCCAGAAAAATTCTGGGTAGCCTTAATTTCTGCAGTATTAGCAGGAATTTTCAACAGAAAAAAAAGTTATTGAGATATTTGCTTCTAAACAAGGAGATATAGTCTTTGATTTTTTGAAGATTTGATCCTATCTCTTCACCAAGCACAACTCAGTACACTCAGTTCCTGGCGATGTGTGTCTGCTTTTTTGATGTTTTAAACATATTTAAAAATTATTTCTAGAAAGTTGCAGTCAATTTGAAAAAACTGTACATATAGCTTTAAAACATCACATTTCTTGTATCAAAGTGTTCATTTTAGTGACAGGAAGAAGGTGAAGTGTATTTATTTTGTGTATATATATATAAAGAAAGGTCAAGTGATAGTATTATACTTGTAGTTTAGAAATTTTTCCCTTTTGTAATGTAATTAAACAAGACCGTTATTAATGTAATATACTGAGTTTCAGCATATGAATTTTTTCTTTGTTACATTTAAAGGATAAGAGAACAAAAAACATGCTGTACATATGGAACACAAAAGAATATATAATTCAGTGTATTTTTAAACAATTGAAAGTTAACATTTCCTTAAAAACGATTTTTTGCCATTTTCTTATGGAATCTAATGAATATTTTTAACACCTTTCACACAAGCCAGCGCAGCATCTTTTAGTACTGAGCATAGAATGGTCAACAGAAGGGTCATTTCGGAAAGTGGTGACTTAAAGTTATTTCAATAGATCTCGATGAATGAAGCTCAGCAAAACTTCAAAAATGAAAAAATATATATATATCAAAATATGATATGATGAAATCTATATGAATTATACAATGATGGTACCATACTGTTCATTATACCATCCTTCTTATATTTACTCTTCATTGCAGAAATGGCATATTTAATTTGAGAATTTCTAGGGAAATCAGTTTTTAATGCATTGTGCATCTGCTTCAATACTGCATCTTTGGACTTAACTATGCCATTAATTTCACAAAATAATTAAACTAATGATTTCTTATATATGATTCCAATCCCTCTTTTTGAAAATAACGATACTATTGTTTCCATTTTTTTATGTTTTGCTGTCAATACAGTAATTAATTGATGAATCTCTGATTTAGCTGGTATGTCAAATCCATTGGGATATCTTCGAATAAGTTCTTCCCTCATCCAACCTGGACCCACGGTTTAGCTTAATCATTACACTCAAACCATCACTTTCATAACCACATCTAGAATATTTCAAGTATGTTTCATTGTTACATCATTTTACTTTACATTTGCAAGCTAACTTTAACTTCTTCGTGTTGGTTTGCATGGTCACAGGTCAGGCCACGGGTCTGGTCCAGTGACTTAGACCTTGAAAATAGTGCCAAACTTCTTCCTTTTTGTCTAATCAAAACAATCCAAACCTTTCTGGAATGACTTATTTTTTGTATCCACATCAAGATGCCGGGCTGGTTCGTGTGGCAGGTGTTAAAACATATATTTAACATATATCTTAATACCTCATTATTTTTGTTTTTTTTGTATGATAGGTATCAATGTATTTTAACTGAAGTTTTTGCATTAGATACAATTTTGCTTTATTTGAAAGAAAGAGCATTTTTGCTGTTGATTTATTTATTAAACTGAACTTATATGATACTTAAAGGGGAACTCTGCTAAAAAGTAAACCAATGTTTGAATAAATGTCCATACCTCAGAAATGTATGAAAATATTTCAAATGTAATCATTGCCACTTTTTTATTGAAAAAAGTTGATTTTTTTTCAATCAATTCCAACTGTAAGTGTGATTTCCCCAGTTTCAGAATTTCATTATGTTTGCACATACAAATCATAAATTGCATTTTATTCTGAAACTCATTAAGTTTCAAAACAATCATTTCAGGCTTTAGTAACATAATAGTGCTGTATTTCTTTGAATCCAAATATGATCATAGCAAAATTGAATCACATGAAACTAGTAATAGTGATATCTCAAACACAACTAACAAGGATGAAGATGATAGAGAAAATGACTATGAAGAAATAAAACATAATTTAGAGACCTTCAGCTGGTTTATATCTGGTAACTGCCAAAATACAGAAAGTGTTTCAGAATGTTATTGTTTTATCAAAGTAAATTATTAATGGCCAATATAAACAGTTGCATAAAAAACTGTATCTCCATAAATGAACATTTTTAGTGGACGTGGTTAGATTATGGTATTTTGAAAATTGCTCTTCTCACATTTTACGGTATTCTATGCAAAGGACTGTTACCAAAGCCTGTTTGTAACAGGTAAATATTATGTTAACCAAGTAATAATAATATCAGATCTACTGATGCAAATTAAAAATAACTATAATTTAAAAGTTGCTGTGGTGAAGTATCTAAAGATTACTAAAAATAAGTACATTTGTTTCTATTTTTTTTTATAAGAAACTATCAATTCAATGTAGGCCCATACTATTTCACACATAATATTCAATAAATGGTACTATCTTTCTTCATTAGAGCTCTACAGTTTGAAGCAAACAGGATGTCTACTGGGAATACAGTCACCTAGGATGGAAAAAATGAGTACTCCTTCAGTCAATTGTTGTAAGAGCATTTAGATAAAAATTACCAACCCTGATCCTCAAAAACGTGTGGGTTTCAATTTTTCATCAAACATTTTATTAGAAATATTTTATGTACAATAGAATAGAGCTCAGCAATTTAAACCAATTATCTATGATCAACGATTACAGCAATTAATGATGTAACTAATCAAAATTACAATTAAATTTTTTAATTGAAATTACTGTTTTTGATTATTCCAATAAGTAATTAATGGAAATTTTGATAATATTGATTAATCAGCTAATCAAAGTCAGGGTTTCCATTTATTTTTCATTATTCCACCAACCAGTTTGACCTGTTTTTGTTATGGCAAAGCTAATAAAGCTATCTTCTGTCACCATTTTTAAACTGCTGACTAAAGAAAGACAAATCACTGGCGGTATCTACTGTTAACCTTTTTGTTGTTGTTATTGAGCTGTTGACTAATGGGAAGGCAACTGGTTGGCAGCAACTACTACCACCTTTTTTTTTTTTTTTCTTGCTCGTACATATCGAGGTTTGAAGAAAATTTAGTAATTGAATGTAATTGATTAATGGGACCATCAATTAGTTGATTACCAAATACCACTAATTTCCCAGTTCTACATTAAGGTGAAATTTTTTGTTCAAGCCAATTGTTTTGGAAATAGTGTAACCTCTCCCAGCTAGTTTGAAAAATTTATTTTAAAATTCAATTTGATTATACTTAGGCCTTTGTTATAACACATGCTGTTGCACAGTTTTTATGAATAAAAATCTTAAGTGAAAATGTATTGAGATATATTTATTTTTGTAGTATGAGCAAAAAACGTGTCACTCCAGGTTTTCATTAAAATGCACCATGAATATACAAAGCATAAACATGAAATACAAAATCAGTTTTCTGATTAACCTCATGATTTTGTCAAGTAGTATGACAAAATGGGAGAATTTAAGAATGGGAATAGTCAAATAGATGGCCTTCCTTAGACTTTAGAATATCAGGGATATAAAAATATTATACACCTGGAAAAATGTACGTAGTCTTCAAAGAGGGAAAAAAGGACTGCTTTTGTCACTTGACCTCCATTTACTATGTTAGTAGTTATTTATGTGGCACTAAATTGCCATGTTCTAGCATGTCAACTGCTAATAATGTTGTTTCTAAGCCTTATGCAAGTATTAGCAGCTGTAGTACTGTGACTACTGATGTCAGTGCACCAAAAGGAACAGATATGGAAGAACATATTGATTCTGTATCAAAAAAGTGAACAAAAGGTAAACACAGTGTTACTGATGGCATTGTTTATTTTGTACTAATTAATGTTCTTGTACTTTTAGTCAATTTCAGAACAATAAAAATTATGAAGTACTACAAATTCAGTATTTCTTCTACTATTGTTGGTCTTCAGAATCTGCCACAATTTATTTTTTTGCTAGTAAATAATTTTTCTGATTTTTTTGTCAGTTTGTTTTCTGACTAATATGCTTCAAACTATATAACTAATATATAGACATTGACTTAATTATCTTTGATTCAAACCAAACTTTTTACAGACTAAACTGGAAGTTTTTCTCAGAAATGCAATTAAACTTATTAATTTTTGAAGATAAGTATTTTAATACAGAAGCTCAAAAGCTGAATAACAGAAAAGCAATGATAATCTAAATTGTTCGTGGTGACAGTTATTCATGAAGCTATGCCAATCATAGTGCCACCCAAGTGATGGCTGTTTATTAAGTAGTACTAATGTAAGCATTCTGTTTGTATATTGTAATACAGATACAGCTCATGTTGAATATTCTAGAGTCAGTAATTCAGTTGAAAATACACCTAAATATATTCTTTTAATGAAGTAGCAGTATGTATTAACAGGGTTTTAAAATAGCTAATGTTGTAGTTTTAAAAATTTTGTAGTTGTAGTTAACTGTATAACATTAACAGGGTAGTATCTTCTTAGGCAATAATTATTCAAAAATTCTAATGCTTGATACCTATTTAAAAGTGTATATTTCTGGTTATATATATATAGAATTCACTAATTCTTAAACAGGTGGTAACTTTTGTGAAGCATAGTAATTTTTTTTGCTCTGCTGATGTTTCATATTTACAATATTGAACTTATTACTTCATATTGTTCCACAAATAATACACAAATTGAGAGTCTACAGATATTTTTTTCTAGCTTGAAACTATTTAATAAATTTGAAACTGTTTAAAGTAAAAGCATGTAATTACCACGTTAGCTAAATACTTTTGTAATAGTTTCTATCTTCAAACATTCATGTGCATGAAATATCTAAATTGAATAATTTGTATGTATTGTACATTTACCACATTCTAGTTCAAAATTCAAAACATGTCCAGGGAGCATCTGGAAAAAACTGCTGTTGAGCTTTTTCCAAGAGTGCCACTTGCTGCTCAAGATTGGTTAGTGTTTTTTATCTCATTTTGGATACTAATCATTTACATTTTTTCTTAATTTAAAGGCTATTTTACTAAGGATAAGGAGAAGAGGAATTGTAACGTTAAAAAGTTAGGAAAGAATGTTGTATATAAGATTCATAAAATTTCTACTTTTTAAAAAAGCAGATTTATGGAAACATCTAATTTGGTAAGATAACAAATTACTGAAAATGAAGATAGTGTTCTGTTGACAAGTCAAGAAGGAGGGATCCATAGTCTACCGACTGACCCATCGTGGTGTTTCTGTGGAAAGTGTATACTCATACCAGCACCCATAGAATACAAATGTTGTTAAGAAGAATGGGGTTAACATCAACACCATTATTTGGTCTTTACTCTTTGGAAGGTCATGTCCTTCAGTTATCATTGCTGATACAAAAAGAATTATTTATTCATGTAAGAAGAAGATACAAATGATAATTTTAGACACAATATATATATATATATATATATATATATATATATATATA